TTCTGGAACAGAACATTTTGGAAAACAAAGACTTTCTAAACTCCTGATTGTTATACTATGTTCCCTTAGTGAGTGCATTCTTCCTGCCATGGCTTTTGGTAAACAGTACTTGAATTCTAAAATGAAAGATGTTTTTAGAAACAGAAGTAAGCAAGTAAGACCGGTAGTAAATATATTAATCTGCCATGGTGCCATGTTCCAGTCAGACTGACTTTAATGTTTCAAAGGAACAAAAAAGTGGAGTCTGTGGGGTTCTCTGAGCTTGGTTGTTTTCTTGCAAACATTTCATTACCCGGCTAGGTGACATCTTCAGCGCTAGAATGGGATGGGGTTTGCTCTCTGTTTATATACAGTGGCTTGCCCTACCAGTGTTGGCGTGTGTGTGTGTGTGCGCGTTTATCACTTTGTCTGGTTTGCATTTGGTGCTGTTGATGTGTAGGTGGGTGGGGTGTACAGATTAATGGAAGAAAGAAAAATATGTGATATCATCACTGCAAATACATCCTTGGGGCAATTTCTTAGGGTTTGGGAACGCGGATCAAGAGCAGTTGCATACCCCTTGGCCCAGCTGAAAAGAAGGCCATCAGGGTCCCTCCAGAAATAGGCCAGTGTCTCAGGAGTTCTATCCTGGTGAAGAATATTGGCAGCTACAGCCAGGCACCCTGAATCACTCATTCCCTTTTCAGGGGAAAAGTTTCACTGGGGCTTTGGAACAAAGAAAATACATTCCCATCCCGACTATTTTCTACAGCCCTGGAAATCCTAACCTAACACTGAAATCTTGAGGCTCTTTCCCTGAAAATAAATACAGAGCAACCAACTCAGTACTGAAAATACAAGAGCTGAACTCTTTGGTCTCGACATGTTGACTTTACCTTTATAAGAAATAATCAATACAGCATAGTCCTTGCTCCTCTCTTAAACCACACACAGATTTCTAGAACGTATACATCTCATCGGTACCCCCCTTTTCCTCACTAAAAAATAGTTTGAAGCAGGGGTGTTGGGCAGGGAGCCAAGATGGTAGTTATGATCATGTGACTGAAGCTCTAAGCCTTTATTACTCGCTTATCAAATGTGTGGTGCATGTAAAACATTGGCAGGGCTTCGGCAATTATGCCTGCCATCTTGACTTCTCCCCCCTCTGCATCCAGGGACAGCATGATTAATAGAAGAACCTTAAAGAAGAGGAAGAGAAGGATGTGAAGACACTTCTCCTTCCATATGCCTTTAGAGTACTCGTATTCAGCTAGTCAAACTGTTCCTTTATTACCCAGAGAAACTGGAATGAAGTTCTGCCAGATGAAGACATTTAGGACAAAGGAACTTCAGTCGTGCAGGATGTTGGGACAGTTGTGTACAGAATCAAAAAGGTTGGGTAAAATTGCAAGCAAAATGTGCATATTTAGGCAAACATGCATATAAAAATGCATGCATCTGAAAGCTTCCCACAAAATTATATACATCCATGTAGGATATGTACAAAATGCATCTGTTTGCAACAGTTGCATACCAAAACATATGGGGATATTGAAATTGCAGAACGGACTAATGCATGAATACATGAAATATTGTAACACTCCACCCTGATAATTTATAGCATCACCTAGCCATTGTTATGCAATGCGTTTTGAATGTGAACAGGTTCTATGCAAGGGTGGTGATGCAGATTGTTAGTGTGGAAATCCACATAAACACAAAACTGATATAGATTGATCTGACCATCTCTAGTTGTCCCTTGTTTCCCCCACCCCACCCCCCAGTAATGAATTGTTTCTGCTAAAGAGTTCATACTTGGACTTGATGAAAGTAGTCCAAGTAGGTATTTTCAGCTATGTTTTAATTTTGTGTATATTCTTAAAGTATGGCTACCCACCAAAGCTTCAGTCCAGATCTTGCTGCCACAATTTTTTTAACATATAAAACATCATTTCTGATGTCATTATCTAGGAACACAGTGAAAAAGTTAATAAGACATTAACAAAAAAACAAGTAAGGGTCAGTGTGCAAATCTATAAAAAGTCTCAGATATCACTATTGCATCTCTGTTATTTGAGGCCAGGTATATTTGGAGGATGAGCAAAACCTGGAAAGCCATGTCTCTTTCCAGAATTATGGGACATGGTAATAACCTGTAGCAAAAATGAATAAAATTCCCGGGATCTTTTGCATTCCATACTCGTCATGATATTGGCAAAATAACTTACACTCTGACCAAGAATCGTACATATAAGAAGCCATCTTGATATTTATAAAGAAAAATTATGGGGAAAGCTACTCTGCTTTCCTAGTGGATTCTCAGATTGCATTAAGCCATGTTCAGCTGTTATTGAATAAACCACAGTTGTACTTGCCCTTTGAAAGGTATTTGGTGGACCTCATTCTCTCAAGCTTCACCCAAGTCTTTTGGGGGCATCAAGATATGTACCCCTGGACTACATCCAGACAAGTTTAATTCTTGGTGATCATATTAATCAATGCCAAATGTGACTTTTGATAACTGAACAAGGGTCATATTTAATTTAAAAGGAAGTACTCTGTCCACAAGATGTTACTAATGCATGGGCACTCTTTGGGAGAAGCAAAATTGGTCATGGCAGTCCTCAGAAGGAAAGTATTCTACAAAAATTCAATAAAAGTATCACTTTAAGCCAAATCAACAAAGGAAAGCTTATGTGATCACGCAATTGTTCCTTTTGAAGGTGCCAAAAGATTCTTAGTTACGTTTATCTAGGCTTCCTAAACATTAAGCTGATATCCTTGTGGGATTTTGTGGTAACCTGCTTCCAAGTTGGAAGAGAACTAGAAGATTTAATGGCAAACTGTATCAGCAACAGAACAGAGTTCTGTGTAGCTCTATTCTCCAATCTCTTTCGGAAACCCAGGTTGAGCCCTCACTTATGTGAAAATAACTGAGCAAAAACGGTTTGTTATGGGACAAGGATAGGCTGCTTTTAGGATGCCTCTCAGAGGACGCACCAGATCTTTTCCCAGAGTAAGGTTCCCAGATAAGCTTAAGCCCTGGCATTTCTCCTTTTACAAACAAATGACTTTTCCTCTCTTACGGACTCAGAGATGTCACTCACGGTCACATTTCATTTTGCATTTGTTCAGTGAGCCATTCCTGCCGTTGATGCCCCATTTCCAGCCATTCAGTAGGAACAGTCTGTAGTGTGGATCCCCAAGAATGCTCTCATAGAGCTTCGTTTTCAGGTGACTTGCAGAAAATAGCTGCACAGACAGCTGGTAGGAAAGCATGGCATGAAAATCAGGTTTGCGTCCTAAAGTCAGTTCCAAAGCACTTTTAAAATCAAGACAGTTCCTCAGTTTCTCATACTTGCAAATGCATAATTTTGTCTTAGTTTCTCATTTTTCTATGCATAAGATCAGTTCAGCTCATTTCCATATTAGTTTGAGGAATTTCTTTTTTTAAAAAAAAAAAATATTTCTCCAAGCATAAATATATTTTTGTTTTCTGCTTTGCCAAATGTGTAAATGATTTTCTCCAATGCATTTGTGCACCTTCTTTTTGAAGGTAATCTTCTGAAACGCATTGCAGAACTGGGAGAAGTGCCATTGTTGAAGGCTACCTGAGTTCCAGTTGATCAGTTGGCTCAGCCCGCTATTGTTTACTTCAGGTTCCCGAGGCCAATTGCTAGATGAAGGCGCAGCCACCGTTTTGGTACAAGATAATCCTCCAGTGGATTGCACGACATTGCAACAAGGGCCTTGCAATTGTGCAGAATCTCAGTGTAGCTGCACTGCTGCTGTGGGTGGGGAATGGCTATTTCACGGGAATTGCTCTCTCTGAAATTGACAAGCCATAGAGAAGGGGAGGCAGATTAAAGAAGCAATAGAGAAGCTGTAGCTGAAGTATTGTTGATCCACTCTGGTTAATTTCATTTCTGTTTGCTTTGCCGGGCTAGAGACCGAATGGGATGATCTGTCAGGAAGGGAAGACAGGGAATAGTCAGCGAGCAACCAAAGCAGCCTGCATCGACCTTGAATGTGGTTTACACGGGAATCAAAAGAATTGAGGGACGGAGAGACTAGTCATCTGGATGTGACCGAAGAGAGTTAGAACAGAGTGGCTCATAAAGAGACAAAACATTCAGCAATCCCGTGCTACTGCAAACATGGCCCAAATTTTACCCCAGTTGAATGCTTCCATTAGTCAATGGCCCTTCGTGGAGAAAAGGTTCTAAATGTGGGGAAAATGCAGTCAAAACTCCCGGATCCTGTGTTCCTAGAGGGACATGTGGAAGGAGGTTGTGACTCTGTGAGGTCACTTCCCTCTTCCTCCTCCACCATGCTATGAAGAAGAAGCACATGTCTGAGCTCTTCAGCTCAGAGATAAAGTATTGCCTAAAATACGGCCTAGTCTTATAAACCAGTTAATAGTTTAAATTTGCTGTTTATGTATTTCTTGCTACTGTAACTGCTGTTCTGAAAAGAAAGAAAAGTACTTCATGTGAGTAAATGTTATTTCTGTTTTCCTTTACAAGAAAACTGCAATCGTTATTTTGGGGGGAACAAAGGGGTAGCACTAGTTATAATTCCAAGCCCAGACTAAATGTTTTTAACTTGTAGCTTGTTTCCCACACCCCTTGCTCAGGAATTAAATGTATGCACTTATGTGTGAGAGAAGTGCACGTATGCACTTACATGTGAGAGAAGAACAGGCACCCTTGGCATACTCCTACGGAAAAATGAACAAAATAAACCTCTTAGAAGGCATACAGGAAGGAAGTGCTTTGTTATTTCTTACTGGATGCAGAATGAAGTATAGGGTACTCATATATATTAGGAGATCAAATGAGCTGAAAGAAATGATTGTTTTGCAATGTTGTGATTCTTTGGGTAAATATGTGAAGGAGAGCAATAGCATGAACTGACCAAGCAAAAGTCCTATGATAGGGCTCTTGCTGAAGTAGAGAAATGAAGTAAATATTTGACTTCTGGATGTATTGTATAAGAACTTCTCTTTGTTTATGAAACTGGATGCCATATACAGATCTGAAGAAGGCATCTCTCAACTCAAGTTGCTTTCTGGTAGGGACTCTTCCATTTATAACTGATTAGAAAATTTTACTAACCACTTCCCATAAATGAGATTGCTATTTGGGAGACCTGTGAGAGATTATTATGAAGTACTAATTAAAGGAATTCTGATATTGGTTTCCTATCAACTGACTATAAATATATATTCTTGGCATTTTTTCCAATTACACATACATCTTTTGGGGGTTATACAATTTAAAGCTTTCTTAGATCAAAGCAATTCTTTGAATCCATTTTGATTTTCATTTTTCTACAGTATCTTAATTTTGAAACTGGTATTACTTTGGTCAAGCTGAAGAATATCGTAGACCAGGTAGACCACTTTGATTTTCCTCCACCACTCTGTGGCTTTTGTTGAGGCCATCTACCAACTAATTTTGGGGGGGACAACCATTTGAGAGGAGTCTGAGGTTATTTTATTGCATACAGTGAGTCATCGGACCCTAGGTTTTGGATGCAAAGAGTCCCAGTGTAGGGTTAATATATGCATATATAGGTTACATGCATACAGTAGATAAGACCTACGTAATGACATAAGCTGTTGCTTGGTAACAAAGTAGAGCTAACAAATGTTTGATGAGTCCCTAAATCCTGAGCGTGAAGATATTCCAAAGGGATTTCTTGGTATTTTTTACTTTATTAGGAACTATATGTGATAAGGATATACAGGCCATTCCATTATCCTTACCTAGGAATCAAGGAATGTGACCCCAGAGCTCTCTAATTCCTGGCATGTGATTTATAGCAATACATGTAGATCCTTCCTCTCAGGAACTAAGCTACTACTATTCTGATATAGGAGGATTGTATCATGGAGTGTACGTCTTATGTACTCCTTATAGAGCAGACTGCTATAGTTATAGCAATTGATTGAAGTGAGAATGATATCTTGGTCTGATAGATGGCAGATGGTCTACTTAAACAGCAGTGCCGTCCACATTAGTCCCATTCCTTAAGCAATTCACAATTTCAGAAAGTACTCTGTGTCTGCGCTAGTGTGTCTGTGTGGTGGGATATCCCACCGTGGGTTTACTACATTATGTGTCAGGGCTTGGTTTGTTACCCTGGGCTATTATAATTGCTGTGTGGTATCATTCAGGGGTCCCTGTGACATTTGTAACGGTCATCCCGTTCAAGTGAAGGAGGATTTCTCCTTTTCCTTCTTCATCGTTATCCAGGCTCCCCTCATCAGGTGAATAAACACGTTGATGAAGATTCTGGGTTTGGCAGAAGCCACTGAGGTCTAGTGTATTGGCCACAATGGTCTTGGTGCGGCAC